GTGTGGGTGTGGGTGTGGGCGTGTGGGTGTGGGTGTGGGTGTGGGTGGGTGTGGATAAAATGGACACCCACACTCACCCACACCCACACCCCACACCTACACCCACACCCACCACACCCGCGCCCACCCACACCCTTCTGCGTTGAATGGTGCCAGTTTCGAGGAGGGTTATCGGGCAAAAATACCCAACGTCCCTCAAAATACTGGTTTTTCCAGGTAATATCCAACGTATTCCCTGACCAGATTTGCTATATCACTTGGGTTATATCTAAAACCACTTGGGTTAGATGCAGAATTTAATTCTGCGTCGATTAGTGTCAGTTTCGTGGAGGGTTACCGGGCAAAAATGCCCTACTTCCCTCAAAGTACTGGTTTTTCCAGGTAATTCCCAAGGTATTCCCTGTTCGGATTCGCTATATTCCTTGGGTTATATCTAAAACCACCTGGGTTAGATGCAGAATTTAATTCTGCGTCGAATGATGCCAGTTTCGAGGGGGCTTAGCGGGCAAAAATACCCTACTTCCCTGAAAATACTGGTTTTTTCAGGTAATTCCCAAGGTATTCCCTGTCCGGATTCGCTATATTACTTGAGTTATTTCTAAAATCACTTGGGTTAGATGCAGAATTTAATTCTGCGTCGAATGGCGTCAGTTTCGAGGGGCTTATCAGGCAAAAATACCCCACTTCCCTGAAAATACTGGTGGGAAATTACCTGCAAAACCCAGTATTTTGAGGAAAGTGGAGTATTTTTGCCAGATAACCCCCCGTCGAAACTGGCACCAATCGACGCAGAATTAAATTCTACACCTAACCCAAGTGGTTTTAGAAATAACCAAAGTAATATAGCGAATCCGGACAGGGAATACCTTGGAAATTACCTGCAAAACCCAGTATTTTGAGGAAAGTGGAGTATTTTTGCCAGATAACCCCCATCGAAACTGACACCAATCGACGCAGAATTAAATTCTACACCTAACCCAAGTGGTTTTAGAAATAACCAAAGTAATATAGCGAATTCTGACAGGGAATACCTTGGGAATTACCTGGAAAAAGCAGTATTTTGAGGGAAGTGGGGTATTTTTGCCCGATAACCCTCCTCACAACTGGCACCAATGGGCGTAGAATTAAATTCTGCATCTAACCCAAGTGGTTTTAGATATAACCCAAGTGATATAGCGAATGCGGACAGGGAATACCTTCGGAACTACCTGGAAAAAGCAGTATTTTCAGGGAAGTGGGGTATTTTTGCCCGATAACTCCCCTCGAAACTGGCACCATTCGACGCAGAATTAAATTCTGTACCTAACCCAAGTGGTTATAGAAATAACCCAAGTAATATCGCGAATCCGGATAGATAAAGACGAATATGGTGCTAACTTTTCCGACGTGAAGAATGGAAGCATTAAAGGCTGGTAAATGTAAATCAGTCGTAGATATTTGTCACATGCCAACAACATCAGCAAAGTGCATATCACCAGTGACAACAGCAAATTTTTCATCGCTACTTTCAAAAACTTTCTTGTCTTTATCGCAACGACAGATCAAGAATGCATATTGTAAATGCGCCATTGCACGCGGTACTGATGTATATTATGATCGACCGTCTACATAAATAATGTTCTTTTTTGTAATCCAGATGAAACATATATTGTCGAAAAAAAAATCATCATCTTTTCTTTTGAGATGTTTTTTTTGTCTTCTAATTTGCTTTAGTTGCCTATGATCAATCAGCCATATGATGTAGTAAAGTCTGTACTTTCTCGCCGTAGACTCATTATTTAAAAAAGAGAAAACTATAATAGTTTAAAGTTAGAAATACATATGTGAGAAATATTATTGAGGTGCACTGTAATTTGCTAAGTATATTCGTAGTTGTTAAAATAAAAACAAAAGCGGCAGTTTCCAATGCTCAAACATGGATCAATCAACTTTATGCATCGTCAAAAAATGAACCAGCTATTCCACATCGAGTTAAACAGAAAATAAAAGTTGTTTGTGTTGAATTTGCAGCACGCGACTGTTGACCATTCAAAACAATTAATAATATCGGTTTAAAAAACCTTGGACAAAAAATTTGTAGTGCTAGTTGATAACACTTACGTACAGACACCTGCAGGCCACATTTTTGTGGACCAGGTCCGAATCCGACAATAAATTAAACTTTGAACCGGGACCTCGAAGGACCTGTAGCTCTTGATATGCTCACAATGATGTGTTCGATATACTCAAATAGGATTTAGATAAATTTCCTCTGATCAACTTTTGAGTTTCTTATAATTTCTATATCAATACATAAGAAAGCTTCTTTGTACGAAGTATTTTTTCTTGTTTAAATTAACGTGCACGTTTCTTTTTATTATTGAACCTTCACACATACACCAAAAAAAGAAATATATACAAAGATGTAAATAACACAAAACAAACTAACTCTAATAATAAATAAATGAATTTTGTTTGAAGACATATATACAGAATTATTAACTGTA